TCGAGTCTGGGAGGAATTGTGGATGCAGGGTGGTGGGTGCCAAGATTGCAGACTTTGGAGCCACATTACTTTGAAGCTTGGTGACCTAGGGCAACCGCCTGTCTTCCTGAGTGCCTCTTTCCTCTCTTGTAAATAATTACAGCAGACACGACTATAATGCTAACAAGAGGACAGCCAACAGGCAGCAGAACCAGGCTCTGAACCCAGGCAGGGAGCCCTAGGCTTGTCTGTCCCGGAATAGGCACAGGGTCGGGAGATGGGAATTTGGATCCTGATAGTGTAACTAACTGGCAGCTTGAGTCACTTGAGCTTTCTGGGCTTCTGTTTCCTCATTTTTCTGGACTCACCTGGGGACCTGGGGGACTTTGGGAGTCCAGGTGCTCCCAGAAATTGTGTTCAAAATTGCTTTCATCTGAGTACGTGCCTTTTCCCGAGGAAGAGCCAGTGTTTTTAGTGGACACTTGAAAGAAGTCCACGACCCAGATGGTTATAATTGGGTCCAAATGACCCCAAAATTTGAGATTCAATGGAATCAAGTTTTGCTAAAGACAACACAAGTCCAGAATTATATATGCATCATTGAATCAAGTGAATACAGAACATTTGTTTGTCTACTTGTGTTCTTTTCACAGGGAGAAGCAGGGTGCAACTGTGAGATAAATAAGAATGATAAAACGGTGTATCTAATTGTGTGTGTGTGTCCTCCTCGCTGTGGGTGAGCTGGCAAGAAAGCCTGCCCAAACCAAGGTGCAGACAGCACATGGGGAGAGAAGGCACAGGGGGCCTGTGGGACGTGGGAACAGGATGTGGAGGCTGCTTACCTCCCCACCCACCTCCGCCCGCTCGATAGACCCACTCTAGTGCGCATCCCCTCTGGGGTCTTCAGAGCTCCCTAGACTCCAGAAACAGCTGTGCTAACAGAAGGATTCCAAAGCACCGTATTGAGCAATGCCACAAGCAGGCTGAGAGAATTCTTGTGAAGTCTGCAAATGGACTGAGAGCAGCTTTTCTGAGGAGGATAACAGGATTAAGGAGAAGGTCCAGACATGGTCTCCAGCCAACAGGCAGACTCGAAAATTCAGGTACTGAGTGAGAGACAATGGTGGTAATGATAATGATCGGTGAGTGGAAGTAACAGCAGCGAATGAAGGCTTAAACATTTTCTGTGTTACAGGCCTTCTACTAAGCATTTTACAGGCAGGATCTTTTTTAACTTGCCTGACAGCTCTGGTGTAAGAATTATTAGCCCCATCTTGCACCTATATAAATGGAGGCACAGAGAGGTTAAGCACTTCGCCCAGGGTCACACAGCGAACATCAGAGCTGGGGTTCAAACCTGGTTAATCTCACTCAGGGGTCTGTGTACCCAAGGAAGACACCATCCACCTTATTTCACAGCTAGTGGTGATGGGGGCCTGGGCAGGGGGGACCTGGGTTAGCTTCCTGATTCCCTTCCTTGTCAGCCGGGCAAATTCTTTAATCTCTCTGGACTTTGCTCCCAACTCCTGTCTACTTCAGGCAGTTTCATGAATAGCAACAATAATGAAAAAAACCTGAGCTTTCACGTGTGGTCTCGTGCTGAGACTCCCCCAGAATGGAGGGGTGGTAGAGATGCCAAAGAGGGCTGTGTTGGTGAGATGTCCCAGAGGACAGGAATCCGTGACAGGGGCCCTGGCGGTGGAATTGGAAATGACTGTTGAGTTTTTTCATTTACATCCTCATTGTCTTCCAAGATGCTTCCTCTTTCCAGACTGGCCCACCCCTGCACCACCCCTTCCTTACAAATCAAAATTCCACCAGTTCTTTAAGGCCAACTGTGACGTTATCACTGATACAGGACCTACCTCCTCTGTCTCCCGTTACGGTTGGCTGCCTGTCTCTCTGTCGCCACAACTCGTCCTCACCCAGCCATGGGGGCAGGTGATTTGAGATTCATCACCTCTTTCCACAGGCTCTTTCTGGTTCGTGACCTGCTGCCAGAGGGCCCCACATGCTCGTGCCTAGCAGGCCATGAGGCGCTGGGCTGTGCAGCAGTGGGCAGATGCTGGCTGAGCTGGATGGGTGTGAAGGATGAGTGTCTGAGATAATTAGAGCAGCAGTTAGAACTGCCCCCTACCCACACCTCCGCCCCAGAGCCCGGGGGCTCTCAAAACAGCAGGAGGGGCCTTTGTCTTTTGAATTTTAAAGATAACTTAGAATTCTATAACTAATGCAGAAATACATTTTCTTTTAAAAAATAATAGAATGTAACAAATGAAGGAAGATTTCTTTCTTTCTGACCACCATGCCCGCTCCTAAGCTATCACTATTTTTAACTGCAGTGTGTAACCAGGAACATTCTGGTTGGCACAAAAGCCTGTCCCCATTCCCACTGTGACATGAATCAGGGCTGTGGGCTCGTGTGATTTCATCATTCTGCCACTCATCTTTGGCCGGCCACCAACCCCTCCCCAACCCCAAACTCATAAAAAACTGGATGAGAAATGCTCTGTTGTGAGCTTAGAATGCCTCTCCAGGGAACGGTGGCTACTCGCCTGGCAGCTGTCAGGAGTTTCCGGCAGCCTCTTTTGTGTCCAGCCTGTGGGTCAGGGGAGGGGGGTAAGGGTAGTCACAGGGAACCAATCCCTCAGACGTGACTTGGCTGGGCTGCCCAGTGTTACCTTTCACTAGGGAGAGGCAAAAGGGAAGCAGAAAATCTGGGATGGCCGAGGAAGCAGAAATAATACCATGTACCTCAATGCGTTGTTGTGAGGATAAAATGAGAAACTGCACGTGAAAGCTGTACAAAGTCAAGGAAGACAGGAGAGAATATTAAAAGAAGGTTATTTCCCTAGTTAGCTTTGAGAAAGGCTCTTGGTCACGCTTTATTCTTTTAAGGGATCTCTATGCTAAGGAAAATGATGTAACGACAGAAGTATTTTACTTCCCAGACAAAAATTACATGGTAGAATTGTGCACACTTCTGTCAGTCGTGACTTTAGAGAGATCCTGTGGTCAGAGTGGGCCTGAGTCCTGGGAGACATGATCATTGAGATTGCAGTCTCCCCGAGTACAATGTGTTTGGGTGGGAGTTTGTTTTTCAGACCACAGGCAATTGCATCAAATGACTAGTCTCTGGATGGAAGTCAAGCCCAAGAATATCTGTGATTGTACTCGGGGCTGCAAAGTCAGGGGATGCCCTGCCGGCTCCTGCTTAGCTGGCATCCAAAGCGGAGGAACCTTGTCATTAAACTCACGGGCAAGAGACAGCAACTCCATGGCATTCTGTCTGCTGTTGTGGCCCCAGTACTTTCCCCCTCCCTTCCTTCAGAACTGTTTCCGCACATTCTCAACTTTTTTCTGGTCAAAGCACCTCCTCACCCACTCCCCCCACCCATTCCCATCCAATCAGCAATCCCAGCGCCCTTCTTTGTCCCCAGGTGGTCATTGCCCCAGTGCCACAAAGGGACATTTCAGGGTCAGTGTTCTGGGGCCTTCTCCCTCTTGCTGGCGGTTTTTCTAGATCACAATCATGGAATGGCCACTTTAGTTGCTGCCAAATCTCATGTGACCCAGGACAAATGATCATGCACATCAAATCTTTTACTGGAAAGGAGAAATGGATGGGGGCACTGCGGTAGGATCTGTGTAAGAATCCTGAATACTCATCTTTTATGATAGGAAATCAATAAGTAGTTTCTAAACTCGGGAAGTCACAAAATAGCCGTTTAATTATTTTACTTAAAAATATAGAGGTAAATACTGGAAGAAGGTGCTAGTAGTACCTTTGCCAGGGTGCGCCTCTGGGGAGTGGGAAGAGGTGGGGTGGGGAGGGTAATTAATTTGTTGCCGTTGTTGGAAAGATCTGTTTAGTGCTGTTGAACACCTTGCTTTAGTTCCTTCTTGTTGCCATCTCTTTCCTTTCTAGTGGTATGAGGGGGCAGGGACAGCAGAAGAGGTTGCCACAGAGATGACCATTAACAGCTAGACTGGAATGCCATTAGGAGAATGAACTCTCTCATCTTTCGTTCTAGGGACACTTGCATGGAGGGGCACTGACAGGAGAAGCAAGTTAGGACCACACTGGCTTATTTCACCTT